CGGCAGCAAGTGCCGATGCTCAGGAACAGTGCCGCATCCTCGGTCGCCAACTGCCCACTTTAAAAACCTCTCACTAAAGCAAGTAGCAGTTGGTGCTGGGGCAATGCAAGCGAAGGACCTATGGCTATAACCTGAAGGTTCTCAGGACTGCATAGGACTGCTACTCCAAGGAACACAACAATTCAACCGACTTTTGGACAACACGCCTAGTCGGCTTGCAGGCTAGCCTTCTACACTGTTACACTCTACACAACAGCACAGCTGTGAACAGCAGGCAGGCCTAGCACCCATCAGCACAAGCTCAGCATGACTCAGGCGGTGACAAATGGCCTGTCCGACGGGGAACTGCCTGGTTGGTCATAGGATTTCAAGAAGAAGCCAAACAAGCACATCCACTGATCCTGCTTGATCCCGCCTTGTGTTTCATTCAGCTTCGAAAACTGCACGAAAACGCTCTCCTTCACGACCATGGCCTTAGCTGCGTGACCATGACTGCAGCACACCTGAGCCTGCTCGAGGAGCTGCTTCTTCGACCCCGTATACCATACCTGCACTGGCTTCTTTGATCGAACTTCAATGCAGATGCAGTTAGTGTTAAGTCTGTTTATTTAAGTGCTGCAAAAGCTGCTGCTGCTTGGAGCCTTGGCTGCAACCATGATTGTTGAATGTGCAGCGCGCGCAGAGGGGGAGACTTGGCACCCGGCCCGTAAGCCACAATACAAAGAATGACGAACACCGGGGAAGATCCGGAGCTTCGAGGCATAGACGTAAACAGCGCCACACCACAAAGAACCACCTGATTGCGCTGTTTGCGCTGATTGTAAACATTTACTGCAGTCATTGTCCGTCGTCCAAGATGAGTCTGGAGTGGTGAGTTTCCACTGACACACGGCTGCTTTAAATGAATGATTTTTCTGAATTCAAATGGGGCTTGACACGAATAAGCGACGCAATTACAGGGGACCTGGGTGGCCCATGGTGTTGACACCATTTCGATACGATTTCGATAGGGTTGGGGTATGGCTTGGGAAACGGTTTTGAAAGGCCTCCTTGGCATGCCTTTGTTCTGCTTACCTCCAGCTTGAGCACTGCAGGGTTCTGGGCAGTTACATGGTTCGAGGAGCATTCACAGCAATAACGCGCGGTCTTGGGCCCGAGATGGAATTTGCCAGAGGAAGTTCTACGCATGAAGAGTGGCGAGGCTTGTCTAAGTAAAGGATACGTCGCCCGAAAGCCCCGAACAACTCCCCAAGCACACACCGCCTAAGCCTCAAACCCAAAACCGAAGCCCTCAACTTCTCAACCTCAAACCCTGCACCCCAGGCCGGATAGAATGTCCAAATCCCAGGCCGAAAGCCCCTAAGGCAGACGCTAGCCTGTCTGCCAATGTCACTAACTCATTTGCGAAACCGAAACCAAAACTGCGATAAAAGTCGTCATAACGAAAGAGTCATACCCCTCCATAATCAGAACCATGTCGAAACCATACGGAGATATGCCCCGGGGAGGCCACTACAAGGCGCGTCACCTGATCATAACCGAAATCATATCACAACCGTGAAAGGAAATTATGTCAGAACCCTTCGATAGCAGCTTGGAGGAATCTCACATAGGTCGACAGCATTCTGCGCCAGGGGACTGCGACACCCAGCATTTGGATGCCATCGTAACGGCGTTTCAGAAACCCACGGCTGAAGAGCACCTTGCGCAACACACCGTGCCTCGCATACAGAGGACTTGGTTCATGCTCAGATCCTCGTCAAGAAGCCGTGAAGGGTATGAGGGTCTGGTTGAGCACTTGGACGAGGCTTCCCGGCAGCCGCGCAGCGGAGAAAAAGACCAGTGGAAAGAAGGCTCCTTCGCCTCAATGACTCAAGGTGCCGCAAGAAGTCTGAGATAAGAATTCCTGCGTCAAGAAACTTGACTTGGATCGTGTTGTTGCGTCGAGTGCCTGTTACGTCCTTGCAGAGAGGAAGAATTGCAAAGATTTGACATGTGGGCAGGCGAGAATTCATGCACGCGAACGAGCGAGCAGGAATTCGTCCGTTCCGTCTCTAGAATGGGGCATCTTATTCTTCAATACGAATGCCATGGTTGAAGAGATGGAGCGAAGATTTGCGATAGCAATGTGCACCACAAAGGACTAGGTATGGCCTGTGGCTAAACGAACGGCTGAATACTACCCGCAGCATACCAGCTAGCTACGCTTAGTTGCACGAATATGGACGAATATGAAGGAATCAAAAGGCGCATTCTTGTTACATTCTGCCAATCAGCAGCACTGCGATTTAACCCGGCTTTGCTGAGCCAAATTGCAGGCAAAGCTCACAAGCCAAAGGCTCCCAGAAGCAATGGATTGGATGCGGCATAGTCCCACATTGGCTTTTCGATATCTCCTCTAACAAGCACAGCGCAGAGTCACATCCACTGGCCGAACTTCAACATGCGTTCTCAAAAGGCATGTTTGCATCTGTTGCATCGACTCAAAAACCCTGCAGCCAGACCTTGGCGGCATTTCTGCCACAGCCACAGGCAGTATATCGATAGTTGCGCCAGTGTCGTCGTGAGCGCAAGAACTCAAGTCAGAATGGATATGAGCTTGGCTGGACTTCCAAAACGATATTTGGGTTGCTCTTGCGTTGGTAAGCAATGCAGCCCGGTTTCAGTACGTATGCCGGAGCAATGGAGCCAACAGAACGCGATTTGACACGCGGTTCGCCACTGCCGCAGAAACCTAGCCAGCGGTGAAGCACGCAAACAAGAAAAGGACGCCAAACAGCATCCAACAGCACACAGACCCTGTCACTGTCCAGCTTCAAGAATTTCCGACCCTCCGTTCTGCATTGCTGTGTCTAGCCTCTGCTGAACATTCTACCAGATTCTACCACGTGTTTCAGACCAAGCAACGAAAAGAAACGGCAGCATTACAGATGGCGAAGGGGACCTGATCTTGCAAGTCTCTGGCTTTGTGCAGCAACGTTCACCACACCAGTGTACACCACCCAGATCTCCAGAGTGAACATCGTCTCAGCGACCGCTGCAGCACTGAAAAGCAACCACGTCACTTGCAGTTGTCAGTCGGACATGGTTAGACATTTCAACATAATGCAAACTAGGAGCTGCTCGTGCACTCCGCCAAGCTTCGTGGCTCTAATCGGGCGCATCCTCGCCTGAACGGGCCGTCTGGGCTGGGAGCTCCTCCTCCAGCCACCTATCATGTCAAGTCGCGGCGAGAATGAACAGATCCTGTCTGGAATTCACCCAGGGTTGCTTTGCAGGCAAGACTCGGGTCTCCGCTACAGGCACTACAGGAGGAAAGCGCACAGAGGCACCCAGCTGCCACGGAGTCCTGCAGGACCATACGTAGAAAATTGACAGCAGAAGACAGCCACAAGGGCACAAGTCGGTTGCGAAGTACGAACTTTTCAGAGCCGATGTCGGATGCAGCTTTCCTGCATGGGAACGCTGTACTCGACAGGGCCATGGCCATGGCCAAAGCGAGCGTGCTACGATTGTCTCAACACGCCGTGGCAAGACACAACGCGAGAAGCGGAGTCAAATCAGACGTGCCAGAACTTGCACATCCAGCTTGTTCGTTTTCGGTTTGGAAGCGTTCGTGCTGACTGCATTCACGCGGAAAGCTGACTTCAGCCATGGATACTAGCAGACACGACTACTGGTTTGAGCAGCTGGCAAACGGAAAGAGTGACAACAGAACGTTGGACAAGACAATCCTACATTGAAGTAACATCTGCGAAGGGGTCTCCAGGCCATTTCTGAAAGCCAAAGTCTGCCTGCTACTCGAATCCGGATGGAACGGGCAGGTCAACGCAATAGAAACCTGGCACGCGTGCACAGCTCGTGAGAAGTTGCTTGTGCCACATGCCAGCTGCCCAATGTGGCCAGTAGGACCTCGAGATCTGGCTCGATAGGGTTTCCATTCAACGGCCTGAGAAGCAACAGGTAGTAGTCAGTGAGGCATGCAGACTCACAGCTGTCCACCACAGCGGATGTGGGACTCTCAGGATTCGGCGACTCCTCCTCCCAAGCATCAAGCGAGAGGCCTTCCGCCTGTGGCTCGCAGCCGACAGATATAGATGTCTAAGTAATGAGATAACACTGATAAAGATGCCGAACATTGGCGTCCTGCAGCTTGCGCGGCCATGAAGCACTTGCCCCTGCCAACCAAAGCTTTCTGCCGACTCCCTCACCAACGCCCATGCCTCCCTCTGGCCGTCCTTTGTATTTTCTATGTAAATGATGCCACTGCGATTTTGAATGTGAGACTGGGGATTGTTGGATGCCGCAAGGCATCAGGTGAGCGCCACCCGAAACATGCAGGCATCGCCAGCTGAATGTGCTCCATTGTTCGGCACCTCATGGAGGCATCTGATTCCAACATGTCTCCTGCATGCCATCCATGCAAAGAGCTATGCCGTGCTGAAAGAAACGCAAGGGCACTGTGTCTTTAGGTTTGCATGTTGATGAAATTAATGCAGTTCTGTTTAAGTCTACCTGTCATTGTATGCACGACCACAACTACCACCACCACCACCACCACCACCACTACCAACAGCAAAACGGAAACTGCATAAATCTACTCAAGCTGCTAGACAAACACAATAACTAAATGGAGAAGAAGAGAACTAGCATGGTGCCACCACACAAACTGGCCTGCTTTTCCAGCGTGCTGTACCCGCGTTGTAAGGCGCGTCTCTAAGTCACACCAAGTCGAACTCCAGCTAACGAACCTTCTTGGTTACAACGCGAAGCTTGCGTCAGGTCTGTTGTCAGGTCTGTTTCCGCAAACGCAAACTCTTTGCGACAGGGTGGGTTTCAATCAGGTCCTCTCAAACTCCGACGTGCTTCGACCCTCCAACAGTTGAGGCTTTACTTCACAGATTTCAACGCCGGCAGACCTTCAAGAAGAAACGCTCACTGTGCATTGACAAGTCTGCAACGCTAGAATGGCACGTTGCACACGAACTCTGCGAAAACTTGCGAATGCTTGGTGCCAACTGTTCAGGCGCTTAATTTAGGAGCAGTGCAGCAGCGAGTCGAACCGCCAAGTCACCCACCGCCCAACCTTCAAACCTCAAACAATAGCGCTTGGTGCTCTGGCGGGCATACAAACAAGTGTGTTCGTCTGCCATGCATCAATGTAGGCGGTCCAACGTTTACAAGCTTCTGCATGACAAAAAAAACTTTTGGTGGACTGGCCACGTCATCACATCGCAGGTTTCTGATAGAGGCATTGTCGCAGTCGTGTCACGTTCTATGCTCCGACATTGTACACTTGCAATCCTTGGCATGGCTTGGCCATTGCGGCAAAACGAGGGCCTCACCTGTCCGGTCCCCGGACCGAACTGCTGCATTGGCTGATACGGCACACCTGGCACAAGACGGCACCATCAATTTTACAAAGGGTGCCGAATGGTTCTTTGTCTGACCTTCTTGTCTTAAGGTTGTGCTAAAGCATGCCTGCTGAGCGCATGAATAGTGCTAAATAATGCTAAATTGTGCGACTTGAGTCAACATACTAGGAAAATCTTTGAAACAAATACATTCTGTCACAAAACGGCCACATGACAACTTTGTAGCCAAAAGGGCCAAGACAAATGGGCAACTACTGCACCTTCAAAAATGGCTGTCAGACCGAGGTAGTGTCCCATACTACCAGTTACTATGGCATGAAATAAGCCTAAATGAAGGAGGGGGCAGGGTCACGAGAAATACTACAAATTGCAACATTTCCACTATATAAACCTCTATGTCACTTTGAAATACCGAACAGTTTCCCAGCGCTTCCTTATCACATCAGGTGCCTCGCTCTGAGTTTCAGCAACCGTATCTCCTTGCCTCCACAGAGCCATTGTCTCTGATCTCCCTTTGCCTTTAATCCAACGAACCAGTTTTATCCTCTTTCATGTCTTGCTTCCCCCTTTTCGGGTCAAAGCTTTGCGCTCTTCCTCACAGCCTAGCCTGAAGCTGAGGAATTGATGCGAACGATTCTGTCACGAAAGAAAGAAGGCCTGGTGCGTTTTCGATCGCGGCTTGGGCAGTCGAGAGAATTGCCGAGGACATGCCGAAGTTCCACTGCAGCCGAGCAGTGGACCGTAGGACACACATGAGCCTATGAAACAGATGGTCCTGGAATGGTTGAACCATGAAAGATAACGATCGCGCCCTGAGTCAACCTCCCTCCATGATGACTGCGGACAGAAAGAACTTGATGACCCAGTGGTGCGAATTGAGGGCGGCGGTTTGCAACTGGAGGAACGTTGGCTCACTGTCGAGGCCCTGTGAGTCAAGCACAAGTGGGTGGAAGTCGATCAGCAACTTGCGGATCCACTGTTAAGGCCTCTTGTGTACAATAACCTGTTGCTGGTGATACAGCGAGGGGGGACTGCGTGTTTAGTTTTGTCAGACTTTAGCGTAAGCGGGTCTGGCAAAAACCAGGTGCTAACTGTTGCTGCTAGCTGCTCCTGTGGAATGCAACCCATGCACTCCAAAGTCGACACATTAAAGGAATGTTGTGTTGATTTCTGTTACTCTGTGTGTGTGTGTGTGCGACTTGACGTGTCGATCAGAGCCGAGAGATGATGACGCTGGTAGTGGTCCTTACTAAGTTTACTAACATATTCTTCCGTCCCACCCTGCTTCCACCCGAAACCAGCAGGCATCGCCGGCAGAATGGGCTCCAGGATTGGGCACCTCAAGGCATCCCCTCTACTCATACTCACAAACGTCCAGATGGTTCAGAAACATACTGTCCAAAATTTTAAAGGTACTATCAATGACTGAACAGCACAATCCAGCGGCAACAAACAAAAAGAACGGCTGCCATCAAGCAAGCACCACGTACAAGGAACGCGCAACAAAAACAAGAATCAAACGACATGCGAAGCCACAAACAAGATGATTTAAAGCAACCGGTCATAAAGCAGAATGTCAAAGACATCCATACAGCAGCAGTAAGTACTAGAACTTCAACATGCATTATGACAAGAGGCCTGTCCACTCTGTTCACCGAAGTGCTGTGTGGGCTGATAGGGAATACCTGGCAAATGAAACTCTACCTCTATCTACATTGCACATTCGTACACTCTTGCCCGGAGGAGAGCGGGTCACCGGCCGCAGATTGTGGCGTGTACGACACCTCCTGGTAGGGAGCATTGCCAGCGATCTCTAGTCACTGGACCTACAACAGGCTTAACAAACGAATCACAAACTGCAGCCAGGACGTTGCAGCACATCGGACGCAAGGGCTGAAACATCGTTCTCATAGTCCGGCATTTATGCAAACCCCTTACGCTTTCAAAGGGAGGCATGAAGCACAGCTTACGACGGTAGAAGGTGTACAGACAGAAGGCACATGGATTCCGCTTCCGGGTTCGTAAACTCAGTCGAACAGTTCGGTATAGTTCGGTACTTGCATGTGCGATACTATGAAGCGCTGGTTGTGGGTACGTTGCTGTGGCCTTCTGCATACTCGCCGGCGCCCAGCCTGCCATCACAACGCTCGAAACGAATTCCAAAACAAGAAACCTTTCAAGGACGAATTCTCCAAGCACAAATTTCAAGCGGCACCGCAACCCGGGCCTCCCGCTTGTGAGTTGGCCGGCATTTCGCTCATTTGGACCTTCCACAGGAAAGCTTTCGTTTTTGCAGGGCTTAAGTGGCTTAAGTGCAACGGAACCCAGATAGATTTAGAACAGATGGGCCACCAGAGCGAGTTACCTGAGAAACGCGATCGATCGCCAGATGTGTCCTCGAAGTGTGAACGCATCTAGGATGACAGCAGCCCCGGAAGGAACCTGCTAGACTCACATTTCCGGAGCAGGCCGACGTGAAAAGCTGGCGTCCCACAGCAATTGTTGAAGGGCGGGGTTTCAGCCGTTTTCGCAGTGCTGCTCTGCTATGCTCTTCCCAACCTTGTGAAATTCAGCGCTAGTGAAATTCAGCGCTAGATTGCGAAATAGCCTAACTCGACATTCCATTTGTGCCAGCGCAATCAGGGCAATGCGGCATGCCCACGCTTCCATTCACCACTAAAGCCTCAGTACTGATTCATACTGCTGGTACAACGTTGGTCCGCCTGACCCGTGTTGCACTCGGCGAGCATCGCAAATGTCATAGCCTTGTGACCGAGGCAACTGCAGTCAGCATTGTCACGATGCAGGGTCAAAGGCATATCTTGCTCCCCGGAGGACTGTTGTGGCGTGTAGCGTGCGCATAGAAAAGCATGTGATCAAAAGGTGCCCTGCCTAGGAAAAAGCACCCTGAATCAAATAACGCATGCCCCTCACAAGACCCCGCATCCAAAACAAAAGGAAGAAGATTCTCTGGACTTGGAGGAGTACTGAGTGGATTTGGTGTTTCTTTGGATTTGTCTGAAAAGCAACAAAACTTAACATCTCCGAATGGAAAGCGCCTTCGCTAGCAAAAAAGAACAAGCAAACATGCAAACCAAACAAACCAAACCAAACA